GGACTTAGCTTTCTATGAATGGATAAGATGCAATGTATGCAATGGTAAAACATAGTCATGCTTTGATTTCGTTACTTCTTGTTTCTAGGGAGGGAAGCGTCAATGTAGATTTCAACCTCGATTTGGTTGCGAACGTGAGTGATCCTTTGTCTCCTTTGAAAAATGCCTTGACAAATGCTGGAGGCAATTTGAGTGGATTGGTAATAGACCCTAGTAGCCTTCAAGCAGGTTTGTGAGTTTGATATTTAGATATTTCAACAATTCTCATAATTTTTGCATGACGTTTTCCTTCAGAAGATATGCATATCTATGGGTTTAAATAAAAAGTTAAAGCAAGTTAAAGTCAGAAATTAGTTTTAACTATAACTATATCTATAGGGAAAGAGGGAAATAAAGACAAATGTATAAACGGTTGACTCGGAATTTTGATACCCGGAACTTACAATGTTTAGAGATACGTGTATCATTCCTATGGTACTGATATTCCCCAAAGCGGACCTCAAAGAGTTTATCAGTGCACAATTTGCTAGATTTAACTTCTCTAATGATTTTGTTGCTGTTGTTAACGTTGTTATTTCTTTTCAGGGAGCTATATTTTACCTACGACTACTATTTTGACAACTGTAGAAACAACATTAGAAACAGGAAGTTCAGGTTTGACCTTTTGTGATCCAGGGTTATCCTCATTTGAACACAGAAGGTTTGATTTATGGCCTTTTTCTACTGCAGCAGGTTGTCAGGTGTCTGTTATAGTCCTTGGTGTTCTGTTTGGTGTGTCACTTATTTTCAATGTCATCTTCGTTGGTTGTTTTATTTGGAGGCATTTGACAGGTAAGACACACAAGTTGGTGAACTAAACGCTTTTGAGAGACTCAACTCAACTCAAGCCAAGCACTTAGTGTCCTTAGTGGCCCTAGGGGCGATGGGATTCGCTCATATTAAGAGCGGAGAAATCCTTCAAACTTACTGATCAAGAAATAACACTGACTTTTGATGTTTTGTACTTCAACAGAGAATAACAGACAGCCGAAGGAAAGGTAGTACATTCAATGATTCTAAGTCTGCTAAATAATTAGGGTTTTTTTACGTGAAATGGGATTATCCTAGTCAACACGGCAAACTTTTTAATTTTATTAATTTTATTTCATGTGATTTTAAGGACAACGAAAAAAGACTCTATTTCCATGTATGCATGCATAAGTGCGTGATTGTTTCACATTGCATATATTTAGCACATCCGTTAAACTCCTAACTTAGAAACGAGATAGGGCTTATAAAAAGGCAAAGCGTACTGGCAAAGACAAACACCTCAACTCGTATAGGAGCCTACGTAACAGCGCTAGCATACGCATTAGGGAAGAACATAACAGATGCGTCAATGAAGTAATGAACGGAATTTTGCCCGATCCTGGAACTACTCAGCCTTTTGGAGTCAAAAGGGCGTGGTCCTACTTGAAGCTTTTGCGGTCTGAATCCCTTGGAATACCAACTCTCTTTTGAGATAACCACGTGTGCGCGTCCGATGTGTGAAAAGCAGAAGCTCTTAGGGCACAATATGATAGTGTGTTTACGCAAGAAGATCTCAACAGCTTCCCTGCACTCAGCAGCTCGCCTTTCCCGGATGTTATTACAGACATCATCTTATCCGTGACAGGAATTCAGAAACAACCTCAGTTGATCCAGGCTGACAAACATGTGGACCTGACTGTATTCCCGCACGATAGTGGCGTCACAAGTATGATTGCACACCTAGGATGGCAATCCCTACAATATCGCATAGTGATGAACGATATGTCTATATTGTACAACATCAATTTCCATCACCTAAACATCGATTTCACACCTGACATTAAGTGGAAACACTTCAATTATGTCACTAAGGCTAGCTCACGCAATAATTATTAGCAACTTGACCACCCTATATCGGCAGTTAACGCCCATACGTTTTCCTTTTACATTACATCAGTATCTGTTTGGAATTCTCTGCCTCAGTCGATTTTTGTTAACTCACTATCTGTAACACAGTTCCGTGCGGCTCTTCCTAGCGAATTATCGTTGTTAGCTTGTTAGTGTATTTACTTACTTTATTTCTTTATTTATGTATTTATTTAAGTATTAAGTATTTTTTCATTTTATTATTTATTCATATATTTATTATTTTTTCATGTTTTGTATCTGTTCGTACTATGGCCGTCGACCGCTAATTGTCGGATCAAATTATATATATTGTAATTTTAATTATCTTAAGATAAATATTTTTCTGTTCTGTTTTAGTGAGAACATGAACGAAGTAGGATACATGGTAAGAGTCTTTGCTTGTACTTTCTATGACGTCATATATTATATTGGTATCATGTGACGTCATAATGAACATTTTGCTTTTAAGGGACCCTCACAGTCATTTCGGTCTTTTGATTTATTTAGTAATCCGTACATGAAAGCCTTTTCACAGTTTTTATAAAGCATAGTTCAATATGGTTGTTGTTGTCTGGATAAAATCCATATCCAATCCATATCCAATATCCATATCCAATCCATATCCAATATTCTCTTTTAATCGCAATTAAGATATTTTATTATTACTGCACAGACATATTTGCTCTTAAAGTTATTGAAGTGCATTTTCTCGTTGGAGTCAGTTCAACCAGAAGCCAGCGATTACTCTATTTTCAACTGGTGTAATATAAAAATTAGGTAACACCTAATAGCGGAGCTCCAATAGCAATATAGAAGCTGAAAATGATTATCTAGTACTGCCATTTCAAAGGTAGATGCTTTGTTCTAAGGAATGTGAGCTACAACAGTTTTGTTGACATGCGAACAAATATTATAAAGAGTATGTTTATGAGAATTTAGTTCGTACTAATATTGACTTCGGTAGACTTTGTTCCGTTGGATGAAGTTTAAAATTATAATCTATTAAGGTCAATTAATTAAAAGTAAACTGAAAGCTTCTCGGCAAAAAGTAGTCTACATAAGCTTACAATAATCAACAATGTTTCAATAATCGATGTTTGAACCCGGACTACTCGAACTTCACATAATCACAGAAAACTGTATACAAAAATATATTTTTTACCTTCATTATCGAACTTCCGATAAATTATCGTTCAAAGGTCATCTTCAACAGAGCCATACTTGTTTCAAGCAATTTATTAAGTCATTCAAGACTGTAGATTCTTTGTTTTTAATCTCTCTCAATCTAACTGCTAGCATGGTCTTGGTTTCGAAATGTCCACACTTTTAGTCGACAAAAGAACTTCGCATAGATCCCTGCTTTTTCCCATATTGGTCCATATTATTGAAGTATTTCCAATAAAGTATCATCTCTTTTTGTTGTCGAAATATCAAAGTAAAATCCTTTTTTCTAATATCACTTTTAAGATGGGCCTAAATTGCTTTTCATCTTCGCAAATCGATTTCCCGGATGTGCGGACGCGTCGAAGTTATGACAAAATTGGCGGGAATATTTCTGTGCTGTTATTTCGCTCTTCAGTGGATTTTTTCCTTGT